GGAGTGCAATGGCGCGATCTCGGCTCACCGCAACCTCCGCCTCCTGGGTTCAGGCAATTCTCCTGCCTCAGCCTCCTGAGTAGCTGGGATTACAGGCACGCACCACCATGCCCAGCTAATTTTTTGTATTTTTAGTAGAGACGGGGTTTCACCATGTTGACCAGGATGGTCTCGATCTCTTGACCTTGTGATCCACCCGCCTCGGCCTCCCAAAGTGCTGAGATTACAGGCGTGAGCCACTGCGCCCGGCCAATTTTTGTGTTTTTAGTAGAGATGGTTTCACCATGTTGGCCAGGCTGGCCTCCATCTTTTGACCTCATGATCCGCCTGCCTCGGCCTCCCAAAGTGCTGGGATTACAGGAGTGAGCCACTGTGCCCGGCCGGAAGTGCCTCTTCTTTGCCATCTTAGCTTGAAGCCTGGTGCTTCTGCAGCAGGCACAGATGCCCTTTCACTCTCCTGACTGCTTTTCTCTCTCTTGGGTTCCACTGCTGTCCAAAATTCTGTCTCTGTTTAACGCAGGGTCCGCAGATGACTGTCCCACCATCAATTTTATAAACATTGGCATGAAGCTATGACCATGATTTGCACACTGTCTTGGCTCTTTGTCAGCACACAGTGACTTGTGGCCCTTTGAGCCTGATTATTTGCTGTCTGACCTTGTGTAGAAGTTTACCACCCGATCGAAGGTATCAGGAGCTTCTGCTTGTCCCCTGATCCCTTCCAGTCCTAAGTACGATTTGTTAATTATGCTTCTTCAGCTTGTGTGGATGTGCACAGGAAATGAGTCACGCGTTTCATGCAGGGAATTGAATCTTGCTGGTAACGGTGAGAGTCCCTCCTCAGGGCCATTGGGGCATTGCTCCACAGGCCCAGCCGGAACCTTTGGAAGCCCTCGGAACACATGGCTGTGTTGCCAGAATATCCTAAAGAACCGAGAGTCTGCTCTGTATTTGCAAACCATACTGTCAGGAATGCTTTACGGCGTTGATGTGTTAAACACTGCTTTGTGACGGTATTGAGGAAGCAGTTGTCTGAGGAGTCCTTGCCTGTCTGTGACGGTAGCACACTGTCACCTCTAGGTCTGCCCCAGCAGCTGTTTGCTGAGGAGAAGGCAGCACTGTGATATCCGTGCTCCTGAGGGCTGAGCTACACGGCCCTCCAGAGCTCCTGTACCTCCTTCCTGGTCCTTCTGAGGCGCATGCAAAGCCAGGCGTGGGCCAGCGCCCGTGGTTACGCTGTGGCCTCAGTCACATTGTAGCTTCACATGCCACAGAGCCTGCCGCAGGGCTGGCTGCATTCTGTGTCCCCTCCAGTTCCTCAGAGACCCATGCTTGTGTGACGATGAGGAGGGATAAATAGGACCAGAGAGCCAGCCACAAAACCGTCCAGAGACCATGAGTCCGATCTGTAGACAGAAGACAATTTTTTTTTTTTTTTTTTTTTTTGGGAGGGGGTTCACTCTTGTTACCTAGGCTGGAGTGCAATGGCGCGATCTCGGCTCACCGCAACCTCCGCCTCCTGGGTTCAGGCAATTCTCCTGCCTCAGCCTCCTGAGTAGCTGGGATTACAGGCACGTACCACCATGCCCAGTTAATTTTTTTGTATTTTTAGTAGAGATGGGGGTTTCACCATGTTGACCAGGATGGTCTCGATCTCTTGACCTCGTGATCCACCCGCCTCGGCCTCCCAAAGTGCTGGGATTACAGGCTTGAGATACTGCGCCCGGCCGACAGAAGTTTTTAAAAGGGACTTCAATATGCCAAAAAAGTAAACAGTAGTTTTTTATGAGTAGTTAAATTGCAGGTGAATTTAACCGTGTACTTGCTGTCTACTGTGTACGGTATGTCTTCTTTTCATGTACCACTAAGAGAAGTGCCAGTTACCTGTAAAAACTGCCAGTTACCTGTAAAAAGCCAGTGGACATATGACGCATCCAGGTATAAGATGTTAAAATGTAAGATGCAGTATTTGAATTGCCCTGATTTTCAGTATGGAAAATTAGTACCCTTGAATGGAAATTATAGTACTCTTTTAAGCTTTCCTTTTAGGTTCAGGGGTACATGCACAGGTTCCTTATTAGGTAACCTGCATGTCACGGGGGTTTGGTATAGGGACTATTTCCCAGGTGATAGCATAGTACCCAATTGGCAGCTTTTCCATCCTCCCCCTTCTCCTCCCCCCTCCCTCCTCCCTCAGGCAGGCCCTGGTGACTGCTCCTCCCTCCTC